AGAGTGTATTTTTCGACTCCTAATTTAATCTAAAGTTCATCGTGTGATTATTAATTGAATTGAGGTTATTAATGTTAATTTTAATTTGATGAACTGGATATGAAAAGGGAATTTTACGATGCCATGGCACCTATTGTTAATGTGTTAATGTTAACAATGCACCAAACTTATATCCTAATAGAAATACACTAGAATTAACTGCACATCAAAAGCTTGTTCCAAGAGGAGAGGATTGTCCAATTTTACGAACAAGGAGTACTTTGTTGGTTAAATCCAAGTATTGTTTAAGGCTGGTCCTTGTTGGTGGAAGCACCGAAGGATCTTCTCTTCTGTTGTGTGTTGATTCTGATTGGTGGGTCATTCTACCATAGACTTGGAATAGTACCTGGCCTCTGCCTTGTTTTGTCTATTGTGCTTGCTTGCTTAAATCAATAGTTGAAACTTTAAACAGTGGTTCTTTTTTAATTTCATGGATCTTGAATAATCAACTTTTACACTTACCATTTATTTACAATGAGCTCATCATTGCAGGAGTTTTATGATCCAATTAATACAAATGCGGATCCTTTTAGAAAATTAAGACTTTTAGAGTGAATATATTTTTTCTAATAATTTCGGTCATGGCCAACTAAGAAACACTCGGAACATAATGAATGGTACAAGGCTACAAGGATAACCAAATAATACTTGCAACATAATGAATGGATTCCTAACCTAACACAAAATCTTAGTTTTATGTAGACGAGGAGACACTTGGCCCCTCTAAGTTTATCTTCTCAATGGGAAATCCTATTGCAAAGATGAGCTTTACTGCAATCAAGCATTGAAATGAAAAAATGAACTTGGATGAGATGACTAGGTTACAATAGGATGTCTACAACCATGTTATCTGTAAATGAGGGCGAGGGTGAAATATGTTGGTATCATCATTCATCACTGATTCAACTTCTACTCATGACATCAAAACAATTGTTTTTTAATGTTAGTAAGTAGAGTGTGCTACTGCTATGGCTCGACTTAAATCAAACTATTAAATTTAGGATGTTAATTCTCTCTCTATAATGTCTTAAAATTTTCTCAATTCTGATCTAACAGAATACGCCCTATTTTACACATTGCAGTTTGATATATACTGTAAGGACGATAAGAGGCCGGTTTATCCTGATTTCCTTGCTCATAGGTGTTTATGGGGGCACATAATGAAGCAATTGCTGGACCATACAAATGATACAATCAACCGGTTCCAACAAATATAGAAAGAAGGAAGTCAATGACAGGTGTATATCCATGGGGATTCGGGGAAACTGGTCGAGGAAAATAGCTTTTTGTGATCTTTTTTTTTTTTTTTTTGTTTTTTTTTTTTTTTTTTTGTTTTTTTTTTTTTTTTTTTGGTTTCCTATTTGATTAAATTATGCTATCCCAATTAATTGTTTTGAAATAAATTTAAGAAACGCCATTCCCTGCCTGGTTGGTTTTCATATAGTTCTTGCAGCGCTTGCCATTTATTATGATGTTTCATTTGATAATTCATTCAAATTCTTGGATAATTTTTGTATGAATATGAATATGAACTCAACAAGAAGAAAAACTAATAAATGCGTTCCATCTTCTTTTTTTTTTTTTTCTCCATTTCTTAATTTATAAATTGCAAGCCACTAGAGAGGGCTAATTAGAAGAACAAGTATATCCAGGAGGCTAATTCAATTGGTTAGACAATGAGTGACTTGCTCTACATTTTTAATACCAAATTTGATTCATATGAATGAAAGAAAAAATGTTTCAAACTGTACCGTTTATATTAACATATCTTATTTGGATTTTATTTTCAATTTGATTTGCATTTTTTTTATTGGTTTGGTTATTTATTTCAAACAAGGAATTCAATTTTTCAAAGTATTGTTTGATTAATTGAATCATTTTTATAAAGTGATTTGATTTGGCTTGATTTCTTTCCGCACTATTGGGAACTAAAAGATTAGGAAGCTATCATATGGTTATTAAATAAAATGTAGTTGTCTTATGGAGATTAAACGAAATAGAGTAAAAGAAAAGTGTTAGTTATGTATGTTTGTTGGGGGAATACTTATTTTATGTAAGGTTACGATTTTCAGCTGAAGATTAATAATTATTTCTAACGGTTAATATTTCATATTAATATTATAGTTATAAAAAAAAGTTTTGTATTTTGTTGTGGGAGAGTATTTGATGAGCCCATATTGATGTTGGATATTGCATTACAATAAATTCATGAATGGAAGTTCACTTACATTTTCAAGTTCAATACCACAGTTTAAAGTGTATATAATAAACCTACAAAATTGTTTCATAATAAGGAGTTTCATAATAATGAGTTTGGACATATTCTACAAAATTGTGCTACTAATCTTTCTTCTCTTCAAAATTGTTGTATACATTTTGTTAGTAGGCAATTCAATTAAGTTGTTCACTCTTTGGTTAAGATATCTAGATTTTTTGTTTGCCAACAAATCTTTGATTTTAGTCCTACTTGTATTGAATCTCTTATTCTTAATGAAATAATATAAGTAGCCTTTAAAAAAATATATGTATTTTGTTCTACACTCATCTAAGAGTAAAGAACATTGAATATATAGAGAAAAACAACCCTAAGTTTTTTTTTTCTTTCTAAAGAATACTTAATACGTTTTTAATTTCTTAAATATGAAATAAATTTATTTTTAGTTTCTTAAATCTATTTAGAATATATATAAAAGTTGAGCAACACAACTATACATTGTTATGTCACGATACTAATTTTTTTGTCATATTAGCATAATTGCTTACATGTCAATTTCATACAATTTAGTCTTCTATTTATAATTTTCACTATTATATGTTGTATTCAACCCACATCTATACGAGAATCTCATTGAGATTCTACATTTACAGTTTTGAATAACATAAATATGACAATTTTACTGCAATTTTGTCTCCTATTTACAACTTCTCAATACTAAATACTCTACCCAACTCATCTCTACATGAAGATGCAAGACAAGTTCTATAACTATGATTTTCAACAACACAAACAGATGGAGAATAAAAACTTGAGAGAGTTGATTGATTTGAATTTATATTTTTAATTTTAATTACTCTTCGATACATCTTATAATTGAGTTGAATTTTAAAATCAACGTAGTAAAAATTCAAAGTAAAAATATAACACTTTTTCTTTAATGTATATCACTAGAATAAAAAAGATTAATTGTTTCAATTAATCTCTTAATCATGTTAATGACACAATAAACTTAAAAAAATTAGAATAACAACAAATATTCAATGTTACATATTACTATTATGCATTTGTTATTTTATTTTTTATTTATGAAATATAATAATTTAACATACTTTTAATCATTTTTAATATATATATATATATATATATATATATATATATATATATATATCTCTATA